CACCACCCCCAGCACCACCCCCAGCAGCAGCAGTACTACGCCGAGCCGCTCTCTTACGACCAGCACCCGCTCATGCCCCAACACCACCCCCACGAGCACAGGCACCAGACCTACGGCGGCCCCTTTGAGTATCCCGGCGCGTCCGCCGGCCCGCACTACCGCGAGTATGACCACCGCGTCAAGCTCGAGGACCCCAGCTCGTCCATGGTCGTCCCCAGCCACGCCCAGATGATGTACCGCTCGCCCTCGCTCGGCGACATCGCCCCGCACTCCCTGCCACCCTACCTCCAGGCCCACCCGGCGATTCCCGTGCAGCACACCGACGACGCTGCGAGCAAGGAGACGCAGTACCTGCGCCGCCGTTGCTTCAACTGCTCGCAGACCGAGCCTCCCAGCTGGCGCCGCTCGACGCTCAACCCGGGCAAGATCGTCTGCAACAAGTGCGGTCTGTACGAGCGCACCCACCTTCGCCCGCGTCCTCTGCGTTTCGACGAGCTTCGCACTGGCAACAAGGGCCGCAAGAAATCGGGCAAGGGCACCCCGGCTGCGCCCAACGCTGAAACCGCATCTGCACCTGTGCCCATCGCGCCTGTCAACATCAAGCAGGAGCCGCTCGAGGCGCCTCCCATGTCGCGCCGCACCTCTGTATCTTCCAACCACAGCAGCGATTGGGATGATTCCGGTGAGTTCACATCTCGTGTTTCGGCTCCGGGCACATTCTCCTTCCGTGAAGCACGTCACTCACCCCGCCCTCTACAGCCTCGATCGCGTCGTCAGGGTCTCGTCCACCGTCGTCATACGGCTCGCCGGCCGCCGGAACCCTCCTCCCGCTCTCCGAGCACTCCCCGACGCCCATCCCGCGTCAGGACAATGGGATCCGGCTTCCGGCCGTCGATATGGGCCTCGGTGCGTTGAGCATGGGCTCGCCCGCCTCGCGCCCCGGTTCGAGCGCCGGCGCGGTCGAGTTCGGCCTCGGCCAGGATCAGTACTTCATGCGCTCTGCACCCCAGGACGTGCCGCTCCCCGCGAGCGTGCCCAGCACGCCGGGCTTCGTCGGCTCGCCCGGCAGCATAGGCGCCGGCAGTCCCGCACTTCTCGCCCGCGATCTTTCGGACGCGGCGAACTGGGGTTCTCCGGATGCCACCTCGCCGCCCAGCCGCGGCGTCCCGCAGCGCCGTCCGTCGATCCTGCGCTCGACCGTCGTAGCCCAGTGAACGCCGTTTCACCCCTGCACCATGCCCATACTACCCCCATCCCCACTGCTTCACCGTCTTTACCGTCTCTGCTTTGCTTGTGCCATATTTTATATATTTATTATGCGCGAGTGCAAGCCTACGCCGTGCTCCCAAAAGTCGCGCCCCGACTCCGTTGCTTGCTGCTTTATACCTATCCTCCCCCTTCCCTTGCATCCCTCTCTCCTCTCCTCCCGGCTTCTGTACTCGCATTTCTGTATCCCGTAAACGTCCGTTAACTTATTAGAATCGCACCACATCCTCAGTTACCCTCTCGCTTTCATTCATCGTCTCGGTCTTTCTCTTCCTTTACATTTCCTTTCTTTCTCCGTGCACCGTTCCGAGGGCGCCCATATCCTTTTTGTACACACGTGTAATGATAGTCTGCTAGCAGTAGAATACGCACACCACCAGCACACCAAACACGAATCCGACTTCGTCCCCGCGGAATTCCCTCTGTTGTGATATCGGCCCTACGTACGGTACGGTCGACGGCTCGGCGCGATACCCAGGATAAGCTCAAGGGGCGCGCGCTCCGTACTTTTGATACAGCGGCCGACTGGGCCCAATTCGAAATTTATCGCGGGCGCAAAGGCGTTGGGTGGGAGAGGGGAGCCGGTGGGACGGCTCGGCTACGGAGGATGCCGGCACGGTTGTGGACCGCAGATCTGCTCGCCAGATCGCGTGCCGCGGGCCGGCCCTCGGCACCGTTCTTGTCGGCCCTGGCCCTGCACCTCTACCTCTCCTCGCCTGCTCCTATCGGGCTGATTGCACGCACAGTGGCACGTTACAGACAGAGGTGGTGCTTGCATGTATGTAGGCAGGAGCGAAAGCAAGGAGCAGTGGCAAAAAGATGGAGTGTGGCTGTTGTGTGTATGCAGATAGACAGATCGCGTTTGGACGTGCCCGTTCGGGTAACCCGGCCTCATACGGGTTCTTCGGAATATCGTCTGGCGGGCGTTTTTCCACAGACCGTTGTAGTACTGGATGACTTTCCACAGGCGTTTGGATCGGCCAGTCGTCTCCAAACTGCTCACTGAGCGTGATCGATCAAGGCACCGCGTGATCCGGCGCTAACAAAAACGATTCTGAGCGAGAGGTTTAGA